AAAAAAAAAAAAGTCTCAAGTTACTTCTTCAGGGAGGCTCTTCCTGATGTTCAAAAATTAGGTCCACTTTTTATATGGTTTCACTCAGGATCTTATACTTCCTGACCGTTTTCTGGACTTAACTGAAGTATATAGTTATTCATGAGATAGCTAGATTGTAAGCTCCATGAGGGCAAGTTGTGTCTGTGTTTGATCCTGGAGCCTTAGTTCCTATCCTAGTACATGGTAATATATGCTCAGGGATTTTTTAAAAAATTAATCTAGTACAAGGTAGAAGTGTAAAGAGTAGTTGCAGGGAATGTGGGAGAAAAGGTTAATTCTGACTAGATGTTTGTGAGTGGTGGCAGGTATGGCTTTAGTCTTATACTTTTTGTTTTAAGTATTTGTATGCCTTTATGTACCCTAAGTGTGTTTGGTGGAATGGTCATTTTTCTAGGTTTCTAGTTACACTGAACAGTCTAAATGGCATTTCTGTCTCTAGTTGAGCTTGGATTCTATGATAACATAAAAGAAGTTGAGCTTGATGATAGAATTTTGCATGAAAGAAATTGAAGTCTGTGTTAGAGAATTATTAAGATATTCTTAATGGTAAGGAAAGTATTGTTTGGGGGCTATTAAAAATTATTTTTATATGAGATAATTCACACTTTTAAGGACTATTTTTCATGTTTTTAATTCACAGTAGTTTAATGTACATTGGGTGCTCAGCATATGTTTACTTGGGGCAGCATCCTACTTTTTTTTTTCTTTTACTTTCAAAGTATTATTTTCAAACTGAGAGGACACATTTACAGTCTTTAAGAAGCCACTGTTGAGAAGATAAAACACAAATATAAATGATTTTGTAAATGTTAAATGACTGGTAAATGCAGTATGATACTAGGTGCTGCTATGTGGCAAATGCTACCAAAAGAGAAAGGTTCTAAGGTCCAAATGATTATTCTTGGGTCGTTTCAAGGAGGAAGTAAACTTGAATTTGAAATGGTCCTTGGGAATTGGGTGGGTTTAGAAAGGATTATGTGCAGAATCACTTAAGTTCCTACTGGAAGCCATAACCAGTTGTCCGTCATTGGGGTCATGTTTATCTGTAAAGCAAGGAAAGTGCACTGAATTTCTTCATGGTAGATTTGCTAATCAACAAAGCAGCTTTTCTTAGTTAAGTCATCTCATTTTCATCTTGTCACTGGTATCGAAGGACTTATATTTGATATAGGTGTCTAGTTACACTGAGTAATCTAAATGGCATTTTCTGCCTCTAGTTAGCTTGAATTCCATGATGACTTTGATGGTGTTTTAGGAAAAGTTCCTTTTTATATATTTTTCTTTATTTTTTGAAAGAGAGAGTGCACACGTGTGCAAGAGGGTTAGGGGCAGAGGAAGAGAGAGGGAGAGAATCTCAAGCAGGCTCCACACAGGGCTCAGTCTCATGATTGTGAGATCATGCCCTGTGCTGAAATCAAGAGTCAGACGCTTAATCGACTGAGCCACTCAGGTGCCCCATCCTTTTTGTTATTTATGATTTTAACAGGAATATTTGAAGCTTATTGCCCCTGAAATACCTCTTTCTGTTTCTGTGTTTGAATAAACTATGTGTTTTCTTCTGTTACTCTCAATTATGAATCCAAAGATTAATTTAGAATGAATTTTCTTAAGTAATCGCCAAAGATTGTAGGAAGGAGACACTTTTGATAACTAATTTTATAACTGGCATATTTTTGTGGTGCCAGAAACTTCAAAGTAAGCATAATTAGAGGCTCCTGGGTGGCTCAGTTGGTTAAATGTCTGACTTCAGTCAGATCATGATCTCATGGTTCGTGGGATTGAGCCCCGCATCAGGCTCTCTGCTGTCAGCACAGATTCTGCTTTGGATCCTCTGTCTCCCTTTCTCTCTGCTTCTCTCTCTCAAAAAAACAAACACACACACGAAATTAAGCATAGTTATTCAAAACAGTGCCTTAGTTATGCTTATGAAAAGAAATACGATTTTGCTGTATCTTTCAAAGTTAAAACATAACTGTTAATCTTCTGTAGCAAATACACCTTAAACTCTTTCCTCCACCCCCAGATTTGTTTTTTGTTTACATTGTGTACTAGTCTATGAATCATCAGATGCTCTACAAATAAATTTGGAGAACCTCCAAAGGTTAGAGATTAATTGCTTTTTAGTTAAGGGATATTTAATTTGAATAGACTGTTTAATAGATTAACATTTTGTTGATAGGGTTTTATTTCAGTTTTTCCCTGTTGAGTATTTCTTTTTTATACTAATATATTGAAAAATACGAAAATGTTTTAAAATTGAACAAGCTATATTGTACATATTTCTGTGCCTTATACATTCATATCCTGCCTTGAGGCAACCTTTTCATGAATAATAGAAGGAATTGCAAACTACAGGTGAATCAGAATATAAGTTCAATTTTTGTGTCTTCTTTGTACTAAGTCTTAGAGGTTCTTTAACTGAGACTTCTAAAGCTCTGAGGACATATTCATACTCCAAGGATATCAAATCATTTCTTGTTCTAAAGAAAGTTTTTTATTAAATCTTTAAAGGAAGTTTTTTTATAGAATTGGACATATTGCTGAAACAGTGTTAACACACAGCTCTGTAACTTCAGTTAAGTTTTAGCAGCCTCAGAGCAAGTCTTTGACATGACAGTTGGTTTCCATCAGAGCAAGCCTGGTGAGAGAGCAAAAGAGAGAATAGGCCAGATGGAAGCCAGAGTCCTTACAAAACCTAATCTCACGATTGATAGATCATCCATTTGCCAAATGTTATTCATTAAGTGAGTCATGAGGTCCACACCCTAGGGGGTGGAGATTACACCTGGGCATGATATCAGGAGGTGGAATTCATTGGGAGACATCCCAGAGGCAACCTACCATGAGTTCTGACATGTTTTTTTATTGTTTCGTGTGTGTAAAGCTCATGTACAAAAAAATCCTTACCACACCTTTTTTTGTACTCCCACCCCCACCCCACATATATATGCAGAGAGTAAAACAAAAGAATGCATGTGCAGGCATACCTTAGAGATACTGCAGGTTCAGTTCCAGACTGTCCGAGTAAAACGGATGTAACAATAAAGCGAGTCAAATGATTTTTTTTGGTTTGCCAGTACATAGAAAAGTTATATTTACACTAGACTGTCTATTAAGTGTGTAGTAGCATACGTCTAAGAAAGTGTAAATACCTTAATTACAAAAATACTTTATTGCTAAAAAATGCTAACCATCATCTGACCTTTCAACAAATTGTTTGTTTTTGTTTTTGTTTTTTTCTTTTGCTAGTGGGGTTTTTGCCTCAGTCAGGCTGCTGACATATCAGGCTAGAAGTTGCTGAAGGTTGGGGTGGCTGTAACAATTTCTTAACGTAAGACAGTAATGAAGTTTGCCACATCAATTGACTCTTCCTTTCATGAACATTTTCTCTGTAGTGTGCAGTGCTGTTTGATAGCGTTTTACCCGCAGTAGAACTTTTTCAGAATTGTAGTCAGTCATCCCGTACCCTGCCACTGCTTTGTCAACTAAGTTGGTGTAATATTCTGAATCCTTTGCTGCCATATCAGTCTTCACAGTGTCTTTACCAAAAGTAGATTCCATCTCTCTTTGTTCATCTGTAAGGAGAAGCTCCTTAACCGTTCAAGTTTTATTATGAGATTGCAGCAATTCAGTCATATCTTGAGGTTCCACTTCTAATTCTGTTCTCTTGCTGTTTCCGTCACATCTGCACTTGCTTCCACTGAAGTCTTGAACCCCTTGAAGTCGTTCAGGAGGGTTGGAATCAACTTCTTCCAAATTCCTATTCATGTTATATTTTGACCTCTTCCCATGAATCATGAGTGTTCTTCATGGTATCTAGAATGGTGAATCCTTTTCTGAAGGCTTTCAGTATTTTGCCCACATTCATCAGAGGAATCACTATGGCAGTTATAGCCTTATAAAATGTATTTCTTAAATAATTAGACTTGAATGTCAAAATCACTCCATGATTCATGAGCCATAGAATGGATGCTGTGTTAGCAGGCATGAAAACAACAATCTCATTGTCTCCATCAGAGCTCTTGGGCAACCAGGTGCATTGTCAATGAGCAGCCATTTTTAAATGAATCTTTTTTTCTTAGGAATAGGTCTCAACCTTGGGCTTAAAATATTCAGTAAACCATGTTGTAAACAGACATGCTATCAACCAAACTTCATGGTTCCATTTATAAAGCATAGGCAGAGTAGAGGGCCCATAATTCTTTTTTTTTTTTTTTAATTTTTTTAATGTTTATTTATTTTGGGGACAGAGAGAGACAGAGCATGAATGGGGGAGGGGCAGAGAGAGAGGGAGACACAGAATCAGAAGCAGGCTCCAGGCTCCGAGCCATCAGCCCAGAGCCTGACGCGGGGCTCGAACTCACGGACCGCGAGATCGTGACCTGAGCTGAAGTCGGACGCTTAACCGACTGAGCCACCCAGGCGCCCCGAGGGCCCATAATTCTTAAGGGCCCTAGGATTTTGGAAATGGTAACTGAGCATTGACTTTAGCTTAAAGTTACCAGCTGCGTTAACTCCTAACAAGAGAGGCAGTCTGTCTTTTGAAGCTTTGAGGTCAGGCATTGACTTCTTTCTAGCTGTGAAAGTCCTAGATGGCATCTTCCAGTAGAGGGCTGCTTTGTGTACATTAAAAGTCTACACAAATTTTGTTTAGCATAGCCACCTTCATTAATTATCTTACCTAGATCTTCTGGATAACTGCTGCAGGTTCTACATCACTTGCTGCTTTACTTCACACTTTAATGTTATGGAGATAGCTTCTTTCCTTAAACCTCATGAACCAACCTTTGCCAATTTACACTTTTCTTCCCTGGCTTCCTCACCTCTCTCGGCCTTCGGCCTTCGTAGAATTGAAGAGAGGTGGGACTTTCTCCGGATTTGGCTTTGGCTCTGGCTCAAGGAAATGTGGCTGGTTTGATCTCTCCAGACCACCGAAAACTTTCTGTTTCTCAGCATTAAGGCTGTTTTGCTTTATTATCATTTGTGTGCTCACTGGAGTAGCACTTTTAACTTCCTTCAAGAACTTTTCCTTTGCATTCACAACTTGGCTAACTGGCACAAGAGGCCTAGGTTTTTGGCTTGTCTCAGCTTTGGACATGCCTTCTTCACCAAGCTTAATTGTTTCTAGCTTTTGATTTAAAGTGGGAGATGCATGACTTTTCCTTTCACGTGAACACTTAGCAGCCATTGTGGGGCTAGTCATTGGCCTAATTTCTGTATTGTTGTGTCTCAGGAAATAGACCTGAAGAGAAGGAGAAAGGGGAATGGTTGGTGAGTGAGAACAGTCAGAACACACACAATTCATGTTTGCTGTTTTATATAGGCATATTCATGGTGCCCCAAAACAATTACAAGAGTAACTTTAAAGATTACTGATCACAGATCACCATAACAAATATGATGATAAAGTTTGAAATATTGCAAGAATTACCGAAATTGTGACATCGAGACATGAAGTGAGCAAATGCTGATAGAAAAATGTCAATAATAGACTTGCTTAATTCATGCAAGTTTGCCACAAACCTTCAGTTTGTAAACAAATCAAAACCCTCACAATATCTGTGAAGCACAATAAAATAAAGCATGTTTGTACTGTTTTATGATGGTTTCACCTTATTCTCCTATACTGTAACAACCTTCCCATGCCATTCTGGGTTTCACAGTTGGAGCTATCTTCGCTGCTCAGGTTTATCAAGAAGTGAGCAGTAAATATTTGTTGTGTATTTGAGTATTGTTGAAGGAATGAATACATGTGTGAATGAGGAATTGGTGGTCATTTTAATTAATTCTGCGAAAAGTTTTACAAGTGAAGACTTTGAGTTGTAATTTATGAAAGAACAGAAAGGAAAAGATTTTGCAGGCAGAGGTAACAAGTGCAGCTTCCAGAAGTTATGAAACAGCAAGGTGTATTCTGGGAATGGGGGAGAAGTTCAGTAAGAATGGGGTGAAGGATGTTTTGAAGAATGAGAAATAATGCTGGAGAATTAGGGTGGGGGTAGATTGTTTTCCACATTAAGGACTTGGGACCTAACTGAGTTTGTTAGCAGGGGGAGGGACTTTACTAGATTAATGTTGTAGAAAAATAAGCTGTATGACTTCCATGAAAAAAGAACTAGCAGTGAGAATCTAAAGGTCACCCTAATCATGAAAGATCACGAGGCTGATTTAAGGCAATGACAATAGTTTTGAAGAGAAGATTCTAGGAACACTTGACTTTTCCAGGCTTCGGTATATTAGAGACTGTCAACTGTCCCCAAATAGGCTCTTTTTCTATTGTAATCATGTGTTGTTGTTGTTTTTTTTTTTTTTCTTCCTGAGAATAACAACTATATTTACTACTCACCTTTATATAAGCCACCAATTAAATTTTGGTCAATGGGGTATAAACAGAAGACTGCAGCTTCCGAGATCTTGCTCTTAAAGGAAAGGCATATGCCTTTTGATTTTCTTTTCTACTTTTCACTGTCTAGAATTTAGACTTGGTATTAAGTCATCTTGAACTGTGTGGATATATAGGGGCCTAAGGATAGTAGATAACAAAATGGAAGGAGCCTGGATCTCTGAGGACTTTGTGGAGTGGAGTCTCCAGCTCCTACTTTTTACATGAGAGAACCAAACTTCGTTGGGTTACATACACCATTATTATTTTGGGCTTCTGTTGTTATAGGAAGCCAACTCCAAAATGGTAACAGGTGTGATAAGATGGAGAATTATGTGGGAATAAAGAATTACTGACATGTCTAGTTCAGTGGACTGAATGAATTGTGACCTAGTTAAACTGGCATAAGGTTTGAATGGGAAAGTAATTTGTTCTTTTTGATGTGCTGATTTTGAGATGGCTTCTATTATTTCCTCTATTCTTCTCTTTCTATGAATCCAACTTTGATTTTGCTTGATTCAGTGCCCACTTTGTTCCATGAACAACTTCTACAGTCAGCCTCCCATGAACATCTTATGTTCCTTCTACCTCCTTAACTTTCTTAACTGTAACTAACACATGTGTTTAACTGTTTCTCCTCACTATCTGGATTTTCTTACATACTTTGAAGATGGAACAGTTGAGGAGCTGGGTTTATTGACACTTTCTGCACCTTTTTTTAATAGTGTTTTTGGCTTACAATACTTCTGTTATATTACTTTCAAAAAATTTTTTTTTGGACAGAAATCACTTATATATCTGACTATGTATGTAATATGTTTTCCTACATTGTAGCCTAAAGCCCTAAAGGGAAAACTTGTAGGACGGGAAAAAAAGGTCATCCATCCATATAGTAGAAAAGCAGCTCAAATTACAAGAGAAGCCCATAAACAAGAAAAAAAGGAAAAGTAAGTATCTTTTTATCATTTATATTATGCATTGGTGTAAAGCTCATTTATACTTTATCTTTCATCAATATTCCCTTGTTCTTTCTTCAATAGATGTTAAGTATGTTCTATGCACTGAAAAAACAGATTTGTTATTTTCTTACTGAGACTGGGCTTATTTTTCTTGAGAATACTCCTTGGATTTTTGCAAGCCTTTGTTTAATTTTCATACTTCTGAAAAAGTTGATTTCAATAAGTTTTGTTAGTATCCTCTGCTTTTATGGAAAAGTAGATTTTCATAGGTCCGTATGCCATTTTGGAAGTTGGTTTGTATTCTTGATGTGAGCAATTCATAGGAAAATTTTCTTCTTAGGAATACATAATGCATATGTAATGCCCTTTCTTTTCCATTTCCTTTCCCTTAGTCTCCCTTCTCTCGTTAGCAGCCTACATTTTATAATTTGCCAATTCGCCCCTACCCTCCATCTTTGGCCTGTAAGCATCCCCAGGAACTGCTGTAGAAACAAATAAATAATTTAAAATGAAGTTACAAACACAAAAGTCATCATTTTGGCTATTTTTAAATGGCCTTACCATTTTAATAAATGGTAGATACATTTCCATACTAGCTGATAGAAGCCAGCATGTTCATTGTTATGTATTAATTCCTTACCCAAGACCTAAAGGCATATTTAGTAAAAGTTAACTGTTCACAGTGATTTGGCTAGAAGTTTTCTGGAAGAGAATAGACAAGTGCTGTGATAGTATAATCAAATTTTTCTTTTTCTTTTCATAAAGGTTATTATGATAGCAGTATTGCTTTCAAACAGTACTTTTCAAACTTAAAGTATTTAATGTCACTTTCATGAATTTTGCTATGTCTTTTGACATAATTACCACTTTTGTGATTTTGCAGTCCTTTTACCATCTATTCTAGTATTTCACAAACTTAAGTGAACATGAGATACCCCCGTAGGGCATATTAAAATGGTTTGTTCCCACCCCTGGAATTTTACGTCAGAAGGTCTGGGGCAGTGCCAGGATTTTACATTTCTAACAAGCTTCCAGGTAATGTTGATGCTATTGCTGCTGGTTCAAGACTACACTATGAGAACCACTAACCTATAGTAGTATTAACTTAATATTCTTTTGGAACCTTTTTCCTTACATTTTTTTTTTTTTTTTTTTTTTTTTTTTTTTTTTCTTCAAGGAGACATTTGATCTGTATTAAAACCAAGTAGATAACTGTTGCCTTCCCTGTATGGTCTGAGCCTGAGGCATGCTTGCTTTATCCTTGGTGGAAAGATTTGGCAAAGGTTGTAAGACTTGTAAAATAAACTAATATTGAGCTAAGTTTTCTTTTTTCTCTTTTTTTTTTTTCTTTGTAATGTAATTAGGATCAAAAGACAATGAGGAAAAAAAGTAGCTTGCTTAAAGATGATTTAATTCTGTGTCCATAAGAAACTTAAAAATCAGCTTATGTAGTACCGATGGTATACATGCAATATTTTAGCAAATACTGCTTTAGAATTTGGCTAAGTTCTTCAGTTCACTGAAGTGAGCTTAGTGAGCCTAGAATCTTTGTATGTTTTCAGTTGTATTCAGGATTTTATGCATTGATTTACAGAATCAACATAAAAGAATTATAGAAGGCTAAAACTGAACAACATGCTACTTGCTGTATAACTTATTCTATCCAAGGAGGTTCCATTATTGGCCAAAGCTCCGTTTTTATAGCACAGAGTTGAAAGGTAATACTTAATTTTTTCTGCTTGGACAGCGTTCTAAACAGGTTTTTCTCATTTATTTTAAGGAAGTCACCATTGTAACCATTAATGGCTCCAGAAGCAAACAAATGTAAAGTTTTATTAGTGTCTAATGTATTTTATGAAACAGGCTTACTCCTGTCATAGATGTCCGTTTTTTTCGAGTAGCAGCATCATTGACCATGAGTTATATTCAATTTAAATGGCATGATCACAAATATTATCCGAAAATACTGCTGATCTACCTGCACTAGAATAGTACGTCCAGCAAGACAGAAAGGCTGAGTTGTATATTTTGGAGAGATGGTTGGTGGAAGATACTCAGACTCTTGGGACAAACTGTATGCAAGATGATAGAAAAGGTACCAGTAAGACTTAACTTGAAGTGCAGGTGCCCGTGGCTTCTGAGTAATGAATAACAGTTATCAAATACTGCTCTAAATACCTTTTGCTGCATGAGAAATTATATGCCATTTTAGCAGCTTAAAACAGTTTCTCGGTCAAGAATTCCAGTGTCACTTAACTGAATGCTTCTGACTCAGTCTCTCACAAGGCTACAGTCAAAATGTTGACTGGGGCTACATTCATCCCAGAGCTTCATAGGGAGACGTTTTGCTTCCAAGCTTACTCCCGTGGCTGTTGACAGATCTCAAGTCATGCATGGCTGCCTATTGGCCGGAAGCATCAGTTCCTTGCCACATGAGCCTCTCCACGGGCTACTCACAGCATGGTAGCTTGGTTCCAACAGAGAAAAGGCTCTGAGATAGAACAAGAGAGGGTGGCCAGGATGGAAGACAGTCAGAGTGACATCCATTGTGCTATTTTATTGGTTAGAAGTCACTAGGTCTAGCCATCCACACTGAAGGACGTGAATATCAAGACACAAGAATCAGTGGGGACCATTTTAGATACTATCGCCTTTTGTTAACTATCTGCCTACTAAGATATTTGGTTTTCTGAGGAACAAAGGCAGCTACAGTTCCAGTCTCTGTACTTTTATACAGAACTGAGGATTCTTTGTACTGCTTCCTAAGGTTTCTTTTTAGAGAGAATGGCAAGTGAGGGGAAGATCAGGGAGGATATCTGTTATGTTGCATTGCCTTTGACTAGTGGTAGAAGGATAGAAAACCAGACCAAGTTGGTCACCTTGACTTTTATTGATAGACTCTGATTACTTAAAGATACTATAGGAGTGAATAGCAACAGCTGAGAACTCAAACATGTTCTTCTTCAGTATTTGAATGCTCTGATTTAAGACTGTTTGCAATATTGCTTCTGTTTGTATTAAAAGAAACTAGTATGGTTTGCAGACTAGTACATTGCAAATGATGCACAATTACGGACAGCAAATGGCTATTCTGTGTCATGATTTTAGCTTTATTTTATGATTCTGAGCTTAGCGATATTTTGTTGGTGTATACTGTCATGTCTTTTCCTGCAGAGTAACCAGCAAAGAACTCTACATACCATAAGAAAAGAGAAACTAAGCCTAATAAGTAAAAATCTAGGAAACAACTACTTTTGAGAATTAATCTCAAATCTCTCCACTTTTCTGTATCCCAACCGATACCACTCTAGTTCAGGCCTCCATTTAGTTCGTTCAGAATTATTGCAACCTGACTTCTTTTTAAAACAAATGTTTTTAATGTTTATTTATTTCTGAGACAGAGACAGAACATGAGTGGGGGAGGGGCAGAGAGCGAGGTAGACACAGAATCTGAAGCAGGCTTCAGGCTCTGAGCTGTCAGCACAGAGCCTGATGCGGGGCTCAAACTTCCAAACCCTGAGATCATGACCTGAGCCGAAGTCGGTCACTCAACCAACTGAGCCACCCAGGCGCTCAGCAACCTGACTTCTAACTAGATTCTTTCCTCTAGGCTTATTTGAAAGGAATGAATTTTTCTCTTTTCTTGTTATGAAGTATTATTTTTATTTTTCTGTTTACAATTTTTTTAATGTTTATTTTTGAGAGAAAGAGACAGAGATACAGTGTGAGTGGGGGAGGGGCAGAGAGAGGGAGACACAGAATCTGAAGCAGGCTCCAGGCTCTAAGCTGTCAGCACAGAGCCCAATGTGGGGTTTGAACTCATGAACTGCAAGATCATGACCTGAGCCGAAGTTGAGACGCTTAACTGACTGGTCAACTAGGTGCCCTTGAAGTATTCTTTATTTTTTAAAATCAGCTTTGAAGTATAAATAACATTCAGTAAAATAGCCATATCTTCATTGTACAGATTTGAGTTTTTGACAGTACATTGGTGTAATCACCATGATTAGTGTATATGCATTTTCATTCTTCCAGAGGATTCCCTTGTGTATTGCTCAGCCCATCCTCACCCTGTACCCTAGACTTGGGGAACCATTGATTTGCTCTTTATTTTGATGGGTGAGATTTGTCTTTCCTATTGTTTCATATAAATGAAATGATTGTAATTTTTTGTGCCAGCTATTGTTTATCAAATTTTCCCATGTAATTTCATATATTGTCTTTCTTTTTTATTACTGAGTAGTATTCCATTGTTTGGAAATGCAGTTTGTTTATTCATTCACCTTTTGGTGTTCATTTGGATTATTTACAGTACTGGGCTATTATCAGGTTCTGCAAAGTACGGGTCCAGCGATCTGTTTTTATTAAAAAGTTTTATTGGAAAACAGCTGTGCCCATTCCTTTTGTATTATTTGTGGCTGCTTTCAGGCTAAAATGGCAGAAATAAGTAGTTGTGACAGAAACTGACCACATGGCCCACAGAGCCTAACCTGTTATTCTCTGGCCATTTAAGAAAAAATTTGCCAGCCTCTGATATTATAAATAAAGCTGCCATGAACATTCATGTACAGTGTTTGGGCATTTGTTTTCATTTTTCTTTCAGTTCCTAGAACTGGAATTTCTGGGTCATGTGGTGAACGTATGTTAAAGTATATAAGAAATTAAGTTTATATGAAATAAGTTATAAGAACTGCTGGTCATATTATAGGTATCACGTTTAAGTGTGTAAGAAATTGCTTTTTCCAAAGTGATAGTATTTTATATTTTCACCACCAGTGTGTAAGAGTTACATTCTCTCCATATCCTCTTACACATGTTGTATTATCAGTTTTTTAAAAATATTTTAACCATTCTGGTAGTTGTATAATAGTATCCCAGTATGATTTAATTTTGTACGTATTGATGACTAGATGATATTAAGTATCTTTTTATGTGATTGTTGGTCATTTGTCTTTGATTTGATTAAAAATCTGTTAAAATCTTTGGCCCTCTTTGGTATTGGGTTGTTTTCCTTTGTTAGTTTTTTGTATTATGTATATTTTAATCTGTTCTGTGCCTAAAGTTTTTTTAATGTTTATTTATTTATTTTGAGAGAGAGAGAGAGAATACGTGAGTGGGGGAGGGTCAGAGAGAGAGCTGGAGCATGCACACCCGAAGTGAGGGAGAGAGAATCCCAAGCAGGCTCCACACTGTCAGCACAGAGCCTGGCATGGGTGTTCAAACTCAGGTACTGTGAGATCATGACCTGAGCTGCAATCAAGAATTAGATGCTCAACCTACTGAGCCACCCCAGGTGCCCTTGTACTTAAATTTTTTTTTTTTTTTTTTTTTGAAAAAAGGTTTCATTTTATTTCTCCAATTTTCTCATTGTTTAAAGTGGGAGGATAAATCCGGTCTGCTTTGTTAGGGCAGGGACAGTAGTTTTTTGCTCATTGCTGTATCTCTGGTGGGTAGCACAAAATGTGGCAAAAACTAGCTATCCAAAGGTCTCATCTGAATGAATTAGTATTTAGAATACCAACAATCGTGGGATCACGTATTACCCATACTGTTTTCTGAGAATAGATGAGTTCTTTGTTATAATTCTTTGCAAATTATGAAAAGTAAACATTCTGTTTTATTCTTGTTGAAGTTTAAAAGGTGACAGTAAGGCATTTTAGCCTTGGTGCCTGCATTCCATCTTCTAGAAGGTATTCATTATTACTCTTTTGTGCACAAGTATTATCCACCTGAACATTCGTAATCCAATCAAGCCTTTTTTTGTGTGTTTTCAAAGGTGATTTGTTCTATAGGTGTCCTTTGGTCGTTAGTCATTGAAGAGCTAAAGAAAAGTTTCTAGTAACATTGTGTTCCAGCGTTTTAAAAGAAGAGCATGATGTTCAGTGTTTTCGCACTATCAGAATTAATTTCATATGTATCAAAGAATGATCCTTGAATTAAGGTTCTGTGGGCAGTTTTTTTGTTTGTTTTTGACAGATTTTTAAAACTTGCTTTGGAAATTTTCTAACACATTATGCACCTTTTTTCCCCCAAGATTGAAGAATGAAAAGGCATTGCGTCTCAACCTTATTGGTAAGTAGATTTACTTATTTGACACTCTGGCTAGAGGATAGTGAAATTCTGCTATATGCCTACTTTTTTGATTCTTCTAGGCAAATACTATTTTTATCTAAGTGAATTTTTTTTTACCAGATTTAATTAAAACCCAACAAAGTAAAATCAATCATTAGCTCTTAGAAAGCGTTAATAATATCTACTCAGTTTTTTCAGAAACTATTTGGTTTATGTTTACCTACCTATATCTATCTATCTCAGAAGTTTAATTCTACTCCCTAATGATTAGAATTAGGAAGGATTATGGCCTGAGTATTTTGGAAACAGCAGCTTATATTTAATGATGTGGATACTGATGTGGATACGCGCATCCTCAGTCTGTATCGCAGTGTCATAATCTTTTTTTTTTGGTCATATTTATTGCCAGTAAATTTTTACTTATTAGCCTGACTTAAAAATAGTGACCCTTAGGCTTTATTTGAACACTTCTCTCCAATGCTTTCTCAGTTAATAGAATAGTATTTCTAAGTAGGTCATCCATATCTGGGGTAGGGTCATTTCTTGATCTGTAATTTTGAGAAATCTAACTGAACATGACCCTGATCGTCAGATTTAGGGTGAGGTTTGTTAGCTCGTTGATAATGTTGGTCACTTTTTGCACAGTGTCTGGCAGCTCTTGTATGGTTAATATATTTACTGACTTTGAGGCCCTGGACAGGTTACTTATTCTCATCTGTGAGTAGGGATAATAATGTACTGATCCTCATAGGATTGTAAAGCTCTTGACATAGAGCCTGATGCTTATTAAATGTTCAACAACGACCATCTTCACCATTAATCTAATTAGGTTTGTTTCATTATTTTAGAAAAGTTCTGTCCTTTGCTTTTGAAATACTTACAACTTCATGTTCTGTTATTCTTTTAAAAAAAGAATTTTTCATTCTTACTGGACAAGAAATACACAGAAAAGCATCTCTTCCACCCCTGTCTCTTCCCCAAATTAAAATGTGACAATCTGATTTCTGACAGACTGGTTTAATTAGCTTTGAGCCCACACAAGCCTTTGTATTTAACATTGAAATAAATTTTGATACTATTTTAAACACAGTGATGTTGAAAATTATAATGAATACTCATTGCATAAGTGATAACTTACGGTGTTGAATGATCTTGGTACCTGTTGTTACAGGTGAAAAACTCCAGTGGTTTCAAAGTCATCTTGATCCCCAAAAAGCAGGATATTCAAAGAAAGATGCTTGTGAATTAATTGAAAGGTAAACACTGGGCATGTTATGAGCAAAAGGTCAGAAAAGAGGGACTTGTTCAACCTGGTTCTTCAAGAGACAGAGTTCTATTCTGGATTTATAGAGGAGTAAACGGACTTTGTTATCTGAAAGGCTTTAAGATTCACACCCTGGCTTAGCTACTCTAGTAGGTTTGTAACCTTTCTGAGTGTGGGTGTGTTAGTTAACCCACCCAGTTAGTTCTTGGGGGTCAGGAAAGGCTTCCTAATGGAAATATTGTCTAAACTGACACCTGAAGAGTAAGAGTTAGCAGGTTGAGGTAAGTTAGCTGAAGAGCCTTTAGGCAGAGAGAATCACAGGTAAGAGTGACATATGTAGTGATCTGCCAGACATTTGTTAACAGGTTCAAAGAGGGCATTGTGACAAGTACAGCTAATTAAGGACCTCAAGTATCATTGTAAGTTTGGACTTTATTGAAGGACATTGGGAGCCACAGGAAGCTTTTTACAGCAGGCACCTGAGATGGTCATATTTAAACTTTAGAAATATCACAGTAGTGAGAATGAGGATGGATAGCCTGAAGGGGCATGGTTTTGGCCAGGACACTGTTGAGAGGCTCATGAAGCAATCCAGGCAAGAGATGATGGTGGTCTCTGCATCATTAGTAGCAGTATGGTGAAGAGAAATGAAGACTGGAGAAATTAAAGAAGGTAGAAAGTCTCGCTCTTTAGTGAAAACTTAGATGTGGCATAAAAGGGAGAGAGTAGCATCAAGGAGGACATGTACATTGTTCACTTGGCCAACTGGGTGGATGGCTATACTGTTTCCTGAGGTAGAGAGCCAGAGATGGAACAGGTTTGGTGGGGGATGAGGGGGACTGGGGTGAACATAAGTTCACTTTTGATGTGTTAAGCCTCCATGGGACATCCAAATGGAGATGTCCAGGAGGTGGTTGAATATGAGGATCTGGAGTTTAGCAGATACTTGGAATAGCAGGCAGTGATTTGGTTGCTGAAATTTCAGAAATGGTTGGGTTATCCAGGAAAGGTCTGAAGTCTGAGGACTCGAGGAACTCAGGAGAATACAAAAATTTCAAGGACGGGTGAAGCCTGGGGTTTATATTTTAAATGAAGTAATGTCAGCCAAATGTACAGACTTGTAATTCAGGTTGCTTTCTCATTTCTCAGGTATTTAAATCGATTCAGCAGTGAACTAGAGCAGATTGAATTACATAACAGCATCAAAGACAGGCAGGGAAGGCGGCACTGTTCCCGGGAGACAGTCATCAAGCAGACAATGGAGCGTGAGCGGCAGCAGTATGAAGGATATGGTCTTGGTGTGTTTTCTGTGATTTTATTTTTTTCTCTCTAAAATACATAGCCATATCAGATTTGTAATTCATTTCAAATGCTTAATTTTAAAAATTCTGTTTATTTAGTTTTGAATTTCTTCCTCTGATTTCCTTTCTTTTGTGAGTATATCAATTTTTTACTTCATTTTTTCCTTACATTCTCAAAACTGTCACTTGTGACAGTGACATCGTATCTTTCTACTGTGACAATAAAGCTTTCCTCTCCCTCTGGCACATACCTAATTTGCTTTATTGTGGAGTTATTACTTGCCCGTCTCCAACTACATCTGTGTTCCTTTAGAGTGGGTGCTGTGCCCTCCCCGTCTTTGTAATTCTTACAGGACCAACCTTTATGGGTTGTAGTCATACTTGAAAAACTGTAAAATCAAACATTCATTCATTCATTGTGGCATTTCTGTGTTACTAGTTTACTAACATTTTCAGAAGAAAAGCACTTAAGTGAGGGTACTTAAGGCTTGCAAGGCCCACAAACGGTGATGACACAGAGGCAACATGGCCTGCAGATGGCATTTGATTGACTTATTAATTGCCATTGTAGAAAAAAACCTGGTGATTGCACATGAAAAATGTAGATTTCTGGCTTCTTTTTAAAAAATGCAAATGGCCTGGCAGCATAATCCACTATAGTGGAGTAACAGCTGTCCCTTTTAGATTTGATCATATATTCTTAAGTTTGCCATGGTCCTGTACACATTCCTTCATTCACATTCCATTCCTAGCCATGTTATGATTGCATTTATGGTACATGGATTTACTTAAAAAGCATAGTATGAACGAAATAATAGCAAATTAAATTTTTAAATTTTGGTAATAATAACACTGAAACATGGGACCCTAAAGGAAGTATCTTGTGGATAACTGTTGTGTTGGTCCCAGCCTATTGATAGTGGTGCTGTCTGCTAGACATGCCTGAAGCACCCACCTGGGCGCCTGGTACTTGTGATGAGCCCCCATGGGCATTTCCCCAACCAGAGCCAGTGTTGTGGTAGTACCAGGTTTTGTGGTTCTTATTAGGATTGCATGTTGCACCTCAGTAACAACCATCAGGGGACTTTGGGAAAAAAAGATTACTCACAAGTCCTAGAGGGCCCACAGCACAACCCAGGACATACAGGGAGGACAAAGGTAGAGAGAGGGAGTGTGGACCTGGGGCTCTACCTTTATTAGGACCTAAGGTGAGGTGCCAAGGGTTTCACAGGTTCATTCTGTATTGCCAAATTAGAAACACAGCAGTGGGAGGGCGCGAGAAGGGAAAAGTGGGGTCACTCAAGTGTTTGGTTACCAGGGCTTTCTGAAAGGGAACTTTCACGGATGGGGGCGGCCTGGTTTCTCGTCTAGTTGTTTTGCTGTAGCTGTGTCATACAGTTGGCAAGACTTTTATTTGAGAAGGGTGTCTGTGATACGGATGTCTAGACAATCAAAAGCTTAACGTCAGGCACCTACACTATAGTAATGCTAGAAACCCTGAAGTAGTTGGTAGTTCCTCTTCATCATCTGTAAGAAGTGCGTTCCTAACTGAAAAAATAACAGAAAATAGTTTTAGAACTAGATAGATCTGATTTAAACCCTTACAGCTTACTATTAAACAGGACACGTTATTTAAATCCTCCCCTCCTGCGGCTTTGTTTTCTTCAGCTTAAACATTGCAATAAATAGCATACTTACTTCCACAGGTTGTTTAAAAGTTACATAAAGTTTGATTTATCAAAGTACCTGACACAGGAAGTTGAGGGAGAGCTTCAACTACTCCCTTTCATGGAGTTGTCACCATCAGACTATAAAATTTGTTTATGTTTGTAGTCTCCATTTTTCCTCATGTTCCATTTTCTTTGTAACCCACTTTAATTAGCTGTCGTTTCCACTCAACTAACAGTACTGGCAAATAGTTGCTATACTGGGCATTGATTCTCAGTCAACTTTTCTGCATCATTTGATACATATGATCAATCATTTCATTTTCTTGTCACACGTTTCATTTGGTAAAGAAGACCCTTTCCTACTTGTCTTTCTAGGTCACTGGCCGAGACTTTAGTGTCCTAAATTGACTCCTCTTCACAAACTAAATATTGGCCAAGGTCTCTATTTTGGGGGCCTCTTCTTTTTATCTGTCTATACCAATTCCTAATGGATTTCATTCTGTCTCGGTTTGAGATACTGTCTACGTGCCCATAATTTCAAAATTTGTATCTGTCAGTGCTAACTTGTCCCTAGAACTCCAGATTTGCATTATCAAAGATGGGTTTCTTAAAATCTCTACTTGAATGTCTTATAGGCATCTCAGACCTGACCTGTTCCAAAGCAAAGTCCAGCTTTTCTCCCAAAACTTTCTTCTCCCACGTGATCTGTATTTCCGGCAGCGGCATCAGTTGTTCAGGTCGGAAGCCCATGCATAGTCACTTTTACGCTCCGTCCACATCCTCAGCAAAAAACATTTTGCGTCTGATAAATTTTACTGCTACTGTCACCACCTCCCTAGTTCGAGCCACCATCGTTTCAGCTGTACCATTGTAACGGCCTCCCAGTTGGTCTCTGTGCTACTGCTCTTTCCTTCTAAAGTCTGTTCACCATGTAGCCAGCCCATTAATTAACAGGACGTGGCCAAGGTCAACATGTATTGGTGATTGAGTCAGCCCAAAAACTCAGATCCGGTGTTGTTTCAGGCGTGCCACAGTGCTGCTTCCAGTGTCAGGGAGTGCGTCTGGTGAATAAGTCACCTTCTTAAACTAAGCCCTTTATACTTCCAAAACTTACTTTTCATATAGCATTACAGCAGTGCTTTGAAATTTTGTTTTGCTTTGGATGTTTTTGCTGTCACTTTTGTATGTGAGATAATAAACAAGGAAACTGTAAAGTGTTGTAATTTAAAGAACATTGATTAATGGATGTAAATTATTTTCTTTCCTAGAGATTCCAGACATTGTAAATGCAGGTAATCTGAAAACTTTTAGGTAAGTCTGTCTCTTTTTATTACTCCTTGAAGCTGCATGTAAAATACACGAGACATAAACTTTCTTCCCTTATGAACCTAGAACTTTGAAGTTAGCTCTAATGAGCTAAAAAAAAAAAAAAACTCAAGGGTTTCTTTTAACTTTTTCTGTTTTATCAAAGTAAGGCTTTTCCTAACTTGTGTTTCTTTGAAACACCCGATCTACACCGAAATGATAGTGACATGGTGCTTTTATTTATTTTTAAAAGAAAATTTAGATACCTTAATATAATACCTAAAAGAACTTGTTCTCACTATTCTTCCCCAGTTCATACTTTTTAAAAGATAACCTAACAGCAACAGACTTGATGGCTCAGAGTTCTTTCAGAAAGGATGGTTATTGGGAAGTGATCCCAGAGAAAAAGTTAAGTCATCAAGAACTAGTTAGTCTGGTAGTTGAACGATTGAGTTTTCTAGTGTAACAATAACATGTTTTTTGTTTCTGAAAATTACTGTGATTTACCACCATGTGTGAAAAGAAAAATCTTTTCTGACTGCATTTTGGAAATTTGCCAGGTATGATCTAGGTCCTACTTTTTATTTATTAAAAAATTTTTTCATTTTTATTTATTTTTGAGAGAAAGAGAGACAAAATGTGAGCAGGGGAGGGACAGAGAGTGAGAGGGAGACACAGAATCCAAAACAGGCTCCAGGCTCTGAGCTGTCAGCACAGAGCCCCACGTGGGTCTGGAACTCCTGAGCTGTGAGATCATGACCTGAACTGAAGTCGGACTCAACTGACTGAGCCACCCAGGTGTCTTAGTTCCTATCTTTTAGATTCTTGAAACTATATGGCCAGACTGAAGATTCAGGTTAGGGAGAATAAAAGAATGGAACAGAGCCTCCTTCTAACTTCTGCCTAATATTTTCCTGAATTGCATTTTGGAAGTTTTGGATATGTGGGAATCTGTGTACAGTTATAGCTATTGTAGGTTAATGAGAAGATGCAAGAAATATGGACAAAGCAGACCTCAGTTCTTGGGACTCTTTTTTTTCCTAATGCATTTATGTTGTTTGTTTCTAGTGCATTTGAATCTATATACATTCATAAACTTTGTTCTACTGCTTTTAGAGTTTTAAATACATTGACTGTTTCCCCATCTCACACCCCAGCAACCCTCTGTGTGTACTCTCTTTTGTTTAGGGAGTGGGATTTGGATCTGAAGAAATTGCCAACCATTAAAATGAGAAAAATTTGTGCTAATGATGCAGTTCCCAAGAAGTGCAAGAAGAAAACTATTATAACCGTAGACAAAGATTTAGGGGAATTGGAACTAAAAGATGAATCCAGTGACTCAGATGAGGAAATGACTGCAGTGGCCTAATTGTCCTTTATGTCAGTTGGAAGTAAATAAATGGAAAGCGTAGTTATATTTGAACTGATTATGGTAAATAACTGTCTACATACAAGAATTTGCCATGTAGCTTATCATCTTCCATGATGAAACTCCCATTTGCAGTTTCAAAAAGTGTTATGATTTTCACTTAAAAATAAGTGTTACTTTCCATTTACATTAAGTTGCTAAAATAGATATAGTGAAATAAAATAAAAGTACAATCTAAGATCCATTTAACATGATTTTCCTGGGCATAGGGAGTGATCTGAATAAGGAAAAAAAAAATGTTTTAATTTTTTTCATGTTCACCTTGGATCACCTAATCTCAGATTGTGGGGTATGTACAGCAATGTGTTTTCTGAAAGGGTCCCGTGCATACTCCTTGAGTAGTGGTGATAACAAAATTGTCTTTCAGTAATAGTGTTTCACTAATCTTCCTCTTAAATTAAATCTATTTTCTTTCCTTGTAAGATAGGGAAAATGTGATATAGGATAAATACACACTGATGGATTGTACATTATTTTTATTATCTTTGAGCCAGAGTTTAATGGTAAAGAAAAAAATGGTGACTATTTTCGTAATGTGAGTCTCCCACACTGTAATTTGTTATCTTTTAACAAATAAGATAAGTGGTTGCAGGTTAACTCTTTTTGTTTGTATATTTCCTGCATGAAGGCTGATAGGTTTTATCTGTGGAAACAAAGATCAGAGCATCAGTTATTGCGATTGTGTTATTTATTCTTCTAAGTGATACACTGAATGACATATAATATAACTCAGTATTTCAAATATGAAAAACATGAATGTTAGAATGTTGTTCTTTATAGGACTTGTTAAATGCAGTTATCTTTTAGGCTGTTTTCTAAGGGATACAATGCAAGTGTCTGAGTATTTTCAAGAAAATAAATGTAAAAGGATGCTATAAGAGGTTTACTAGACATTAACTAAATCTTGTTAACAACTTATTTAAAATATTACAGCTTTTTTTACTATTGACAATTAAAAATAAAATATATTTCCATAATTTCACTTCTTAAAGTTCCAATTATTTCATTTTCAGTGTTTCAGTGTTTCAACTGATGCTGATTTGCTTTCTTTAGTAATCTTTGTAAGAGTATGGTTTTATGGTTAGAGAAGTTCCTGTCTCTTTAGTCACTGGAAAGTGTCCTTTTTTTTTGGGGGGGGGGTTCATTTTTGTTTCAAAATGGCTATAAACACTGAATCTTTTTTTTTCTTTCAATATATGAAGTTTATTGTCAAATTGGTTTCCATACAACACCCAGTGCTCATCCCAAAAGGTGCCCTTCTCAATACCCATCACCAACCCTCCCCTCCCTCCCACCCCCCATCAACCCTCAGTTCTCAGTTTTTAAGAGTCTCTTATGCTTTGGCTCT